TCACTGGCCCAAGTTGGCACCATCATTGCACTCTTCCCGGGCGAGGCACATCAGTTGCCGGCTTCTGGACGGCTGCTCATGGCGGCTGCTGGCTGCTCATACTGGCTGCTGGCTACACACGGTAGCCCATGGCTACTGCCACAGGGGCTGTAGCCTACGCCATCACCGGCGACTCACAGCAGCCCAGCTCCAGGTCGAGCCGCCGTTCAGCATCTTAGCTGTGGAGGGCAGTGTCACCAGCCCTCATATGTGGGATCCGAACCAGGGCCCTCTGGCGTCCCAAGCCAGCTCTCAACCATCGTGCCACGCGGCCGGCCCCCAGTCATCATATTTTTTATCAAACCTCATTGTTCAGCCTATGATTGTGTCTGTATTGAACACATATAGGCTTTTTTTTCCTTGTCATTATTTCCTGAACAATGTTGTATAACTGTTACTTACATAGCATTTACATTATATTGGGTATTGTAAGTAATCTAGAGATGTTTTAAAGAGTAATCTAAAGATGGTTTAAAGTGAATGGGACGATGTGCGAAGTTTATATGTAAATACTATGCCGTTTTATATAAGGGACTCGAGTGTGGATTTTGGTATGCACGGGCTCCTGGAACCAATCCGCATGGATACTGAGGGATTGTATATAGTTTAACAAGTAATTATAAGTGAATCACCCATGTGATCCCCATCCATATTGCAAAATTGAGTGTTGCTAGCGCCCCAGGCCCTTTGCCGCATAGGTTTTATGCCAGCCACCCCCACTGTTGATACTCTTATGGCCTGGCTTTGTGTGAGTTTACCACACATGCATGCATCATGATCAGCTTAGCTCAGCTTTGCCTGCTTTGAACTTGATACAAGTGTAGTCCTACAGCACCAGCTCTCCTGCATCTGGCATCTTCCCCTCAGCTCTGTGTGCGATCCACCCATTTTCCATGTGGCAGCAGTGTGCTTGTCATTGCTGTGTAGTGTTCCACTGTGTCACTGTGTCCTAACTGTGTTCTGTGGATGGATGTTTGGGTCCTTCTCCCTCGGTACTTACTTCACACACTACCTGCTGTGTAATTTGTACAGATTTCATAGCCTCGGTTTTGATCTTTGTAAAATGGAGATAACAACTCTTGTATTTGTGGGGTTGTGTAGAATGTTAACTGGTGATAACTGCTGCTTAGTGAGCGCTCACCACTTAGTGAGAGCTCACCAGTGAGCTCAGTGATAGCTGCTGTACTATAAGCTTTGTATATATTAACCCGCATAGATGCTGTATTGCCCTAGTGAGGTAGATGTGGCTTTTACTGTCCCCTTTCGCAAGAGAGGAAACTGACGTACAGAGAATTTAAAATAAGAAGTTCACGGTCACTCAGCCAGGAAGTTTAAACCCAGGCAATCTGGCTCCAGAGCCTTAACCACTATTCCAGACTGCTACTTATGTACTCGTTTGTTTGTGAATCACTGAACAGTATCTGCCTCACCTGGCGGTTGTGAGGACTGACTGTCCCTGTTTACAGAGCAGGAAAGTAGGGTCAGGGAGGTTAAGGTCACCCACCCAGAGAGGGCTGTATTTGGGATTGGAGCCCAGGCATGTCTAGCTCCCAGGGTCTGGGCCAGAGCAGTGTGCGTAGCCTGCCTGGCACCTGGTGAGGCTCTGGGCCCTGGAGATGCCACTGTTATATGTGTCTTGTTTCCCTTCTCAGGTACCAGTTCAACCCAGCCTTCTTTCAGACCACAGTTACCGCCCAGATCCTGCTAAAGGCCCTCACCAACCTGCCCCACACTGACTTCACGCTGTGCAAGTGCATGATCGACCAGGCACATGTATCCTTTCAGCTCCCAGGCCTGGGGGTATGCAGGAGCGGGCAGGCAGGAGCCAGGGAGGCTGAACTCCGCGCGTTCAGCCACAAACACTGCGTTACCTACCTGCTCTGGGCTTGGCCTGGTGCAGGGTGGGGCTGGGGCCTTGTGGTGGCTGAAACAGGCCCATCCTCTGCCCTTACAGAGTTCAGTCCAGTAAGGGAGATGGGTCCCCTGTCAGTGACAGCCTGGAGTCAGAGCTTGGAGGTAAGGGGGCCAGAGGAGGCCCTTGACCCTGCCTGCATGTTAGGGAAAGCTTCCTGGAGGAGTGGCCATCTGAAAGATGAGGAGTTAAGTGAAGCGATAGAGAAGGGTGATCCAGGCAGAAGGAACAGTATGTACGGAGGCCTGGAGGAAAAGAAGAGCTCAGTGCTGTCTTTCAGAGGCCATAGANCTCTGGTGAACAGTGGTGAGTAAAATAAATACATTCCCTACCCTTTGGTATTTGTGGCCACATGAGAAACTACGGACACTTAACCAGTCAGATGAAGTTACACACATTACAAAGTTTAAGAAGAAACCCATCTAGAAATTCTTTTCAAGTTTGTCATCACAGGTGTGATATTAACTAGCTCGTGAATCCTATTAATATTTGGCTTGGAGTTTCCCCATGAATTAGAAATTCTTTTACACAAAATGTTTATAAAACAATGACACAAAATTTTAATCCATAACTTCTCACTCTATCTTATTAAAGTGTGGGATAAGTTCTAATTGTCATCTGAACATCAAAGAAACTCAAAGACTAACATATTGTGGAAATTCCCTCAAAAATGACTTGAGAGGTGTGGACTACTGTGAGCCCCATTTTATAGATGGGAAAACTGAGGCTCAGGGAGCAGAAGTCTCTTGCCCCAAGTTCCACAGTGAAAGAGTGGCTGGAATTTGAACCATGGGCTCTGCAAAGGGATCCTAAGTTTTTTTTTCAGCTGTGCCCATCTAACTCCCCACCCCCTGACCCTTGACCCCTTAACTTCTGTCCCCCACCTCTCCCACCCACCCCACAGCCAGACCTGAGAGAGACATGAGGACATTGTTGATGGAGTACACCCAGGTAGTCCGGCTAGAAAAGAGCTGCAGAGAGTGGGGGAGATGACTCCTGTTAGGACCCCAGCAATCCCCAACCCAACCCCCACCCTCAGCCCACCCTGGGTGCTGTGCCTCACCATCTCCAGCGTGGCCTCCTGATCATTCCGGTTCAAGATGAAAATGCCTTCCTCTGCCCCCAGAATCAGGTGCTGGTCTGGGGAGGGGCAGAAACGAGGACGTTAGGACCTGCTTCATCTTGGGGGACCTCCTAGATCCCCGCCTGTCTGACCTCAAACACTGGCACTCTGTTCCCCAGATCCTCAGTTCTCTAACTCTCACCCCCATCTCAACATTCCCAGCCTCTGTTTCCCCAAATCTGAACCAAAACCCTGACCCAGTCCCTTGAGCTGGTCCCATTCTCACCTACCTGTGACTTCCCTTCTGGGGGTTCTTCTATCTCTGACCTGCAAATCCAGACCCTCTGTCCCCTCCAGTGCTGACCCAAACATTTACACATGCATCCCCAAATAGGGCTAAGCTCTGTTCCTCTTTCTCCCTCCCCAGCTCTGGTCCCGGAAGGCTAATCCTGTCTTAACATTGACCCTCAAACTCAGACCTCTAAAGACAGCTTTTTCTGTCCAGTGTGACCCTCCCCAAACTCTAGTCTGTTTCTTTAACATTCACCCCTCACTGATCTGGTCTCCACATCTTTGATCCCCAAACTCCATCCCTTTCTGCTACATTCTAATCCCTAAAATTCCTAACCCCCAAACGCTAAACCCAGCCTCTCTACCATTAATCTCCAACTGAGGTTAACAGGGTCCACCTGTCTCCCATCTTGTACCCCAAACTCTGAGCTTTCTGCTGTATTTGATACTTTAATTTTCCTAGTTTTCACTGTCAAACTCATCTTCCCTCTACCCATCTTTGACCCCTAAATCCCAACTGTAACTCCAGGCTCTGCCCCTGCCTCAGCTCTGCCATTCCCCACCCTGTAAAGACCCTCCCCAGTCCCTGCCTTTGCGCCTTCCATTAAGGTCCCTCCCCATCTTCCCATGCTCTCCCTGACCCTCCTGAATGCCCACCCTTGGTGGAGGGGTGTGTCCAGGCGGCCGTGCTGTGGATCCGGAGGGGGCAGCCGTTGAACAACTTTATGAGAAGGGCACATCCCTAGGCGGGCCATGGAGAGCAGAGCAGGAGAGCCAGCAAAAGGGAGGAGGGGACGGAACATGCAGTGGTTAAGACTCTGGAGCAAGAGTGCCAGGGTTCAAATCCTGCCTATGCCTCATCAAAGGTTCATGACCTTGGCAAGCTACATATCCCTCTCTGCCTCAGTTTCTCCCTCTGTGAAATGGGAGATAATATCTATCTCTGATATATACCTCTATCTGTGAAGGTTTATACCACATAAAGTCATGAGATCAGTGTCTGGCAGGGAGGAACTGCTCCACAAATGTCACCTATTATCATTAATAGGTTTCCCACTGCTGCCCCCACCTCCACCCCCAACCGGCATCCCCAGCCCCATTCAGATGTGTGAGTCTTCAGCATAGCTGGCTTCACCTTTCTCTTCATCTTTTCCTTCTTGGGGGGCAACAGTGGGGGCTGGTCAGGCTCCCCCCGGGAAGGTGGGTTCCAGAGTGAGGGTTCTGAAACAGGGTGGGGGAAAATCAGCACCAAGGACCCCCCACTCCTGCCCAACCCCCACCTCTGCCCACCTCCCACCCCAACCTGCCCCATTACCTGAATGGGCAGTTAGGTGAGGGCTTCGGGTGGCTGGGGGAGGCCCAAGATGGGGGGTCCGTGGAGGAGGCCCACTGGCACACCGGACCAGCACGCCAGGGCTCAACTGCCCCTCCTCCCCAACCCCCCCAGGGCCCTCGTCCGATGGAGAACGGAACTTGGGCTTTGGAGACAGACAGTAAGGGTGGATAGTACGTTAGATGATGTCAGAGAGGGCACCCTGCCATCCCAACCCTGTCTCTGCCAGAACTGACATTTGGTCATAGCCCTGACCCTCCTGACAATGTCCTACCACCACTCCAGCCTTCCCCTCTAATCACCACA